AAATCTTAGCATTACTGAAATGTGAATACTGTCCCCACTTTATAATGAAGCTGAGGTACAGACAGAAAGTAATTTACCTAAGGTTATAGAGCTGGCAAGTAGTAGGAGGCCTTGTAAGTCCAGTCAGCTTTTTACAGCAGAAAACCGAGCTGCTCCAAGAGCTGCATGGGTTATCCCAAACTGTACCTGTACCATCGGAGAGGCAGGACACTCACTGTTACGGTTTGCGTCTGCATGTCTCCCCAAATCCTCATGCAGTCATGGGGCAGGCTTCTAGATTTCTGATTGAGTCACAGTCCAATGCTGGGATTATGGGTGTGAGTACTACACCTGCCCCTGGGGTGAGTAGTGTGCATATGTAAGGGAGAGAAAGAGGCTGCCTGCTGCCACTCCTCCCTTTTGCTCTTGCTGCTCTGCTGTCTTCCACCCCCCACCCCCCCAACTCCTGCCATGAATGGTTGCCCTCTGTCACGTGCCACTCTGCCTTAGAGCCAGCTGAGTTTGGACTGAAGCCTCCACAACTGTGAGCTGAATAAACCTTTCTTTCCTTAATTTTGGGTGTCGGGTATTTTGTCTCAGCAACAAAAGTAACCAAGACACTGACTACTAAGTGTTTTCTACCATGGCATAGGAACCCATTAACTTGGGCGATTCTATGAGCATCTCTGAACCTGACCTTTGATATGTCCACTCAAGTAGACACTGTGCTAGACTGTCCCTCACAAGGAGAGGAACGCTGTTCCTCTCCCAGAAAAATGTCTTAAAATGGAAAAAAGCACATTTTGGAATCAAAGTCCTAGATTGAAATGCCTACTCCACATCTGTTATGCCTTGTATCTAAATGTCCCCTGAAAGCCTCATTAGGTCAGAGATGGGGCTTTTCAGAGGTGGCTGGATCTAGAGTGTGTGATGCTGGGAATAAGGATGTGTGACTACTACATTAGTCCACTGATTGGTTTGGCATAGTTCTGGGGGTGGGTAATGGGAAGGCCCACCCTGAGTGTGAGCGCTACCCACCTTAAGAGCAGGTAGCCTGGATAAAACATAAGGGGCAGAAAGAAGGCTGCTGTTAGTGCTTGCTGCTGCTGCTTTGCTCCTTGGCTGCTTCTGTTGCCTTCTGCCTGCCATGAACTGTTTCTCCTCTGCAATGTCCCTCTGCCCTTGGAGCCAGCCAACTATCTAAAACCCCTACACACTGTGCTAAATATTCCTTCCCTCCCTTAATCTGTGTGAAGTATTTTGTCTCAGCAACAAGTAAAGTACAACATCTAACCGGCTTGTCACCTTGGACAAGTTATACTGAACCACCCTGAGCCTCAGTTTCCTCTTCAACAAGGAAAAACTAGCACTGTCACTGTCAGAGGCTGCTGCAGGCCTGGAGAGTGTGCAAGGGCAACACATGATACCTGGAAGAGCAGGAACTGAACAAGGCAATCCTCTGCGCTAGTCACCTTTTGCCTTCGCTGTGATCTCAACAATTCCCAAAGGGGACACTCAGGAGATAATAGGGTCAGACAGAAAAGACCGTGAGGGATATCCTGGCAAAGAAAACTGGCACCTGAAGGACCAAGACAGTGCTTTAAAAACTTCCCAGTTTAAATAAACAAATTGATAGGGAAAAAAGAATTGGCACCTACTATCAAAAGATACTGGCCAACAGACATTAGAATGAATACTTTTACACTGAACCTGACAAAACTGGTTTTTAAAGATTTAGTCTGTCATCAACGTAGTATACAAAGAGAATAATTTCTCCATGGCTCTGTTTTGTTTTGTGACACGGGATGGAACCCAGGGCCTTCACACTGAGCCCTTTTCTTTTTTTTATTTTGGTTTTTCTCCGGTACTGGGAACCGAACTCACGACCTTGCGCTTGCCAGGCAGGCGCTTTGCCGCTGAGCTAAATTCCCAGCCCCTGAGTCCTTTTCTTATTTTCAGACAAGGTCTCACTAAATTGCTAGACTGCTTATGTAGGGGTCAAACTTGCAATCCTCCTGTCTCAGCCTTGCACAATGCTGGGATTATAGGCTTGTGCCACTGTAGCTGGCTTGTTTTGTTTTTACATAAAGTAGTATTCTGTGCATTTCTCCCCTTTGTTTCCTCAAGAGCTTCAGAAAATCAGAACACAAGAGCTTCCGACTTGGAGGGAAGGCCAATCATATGGCATCTTGAAACACTCCTTTTTCCTCTATCATATCCATTTCTGGCATAGCAGATTCTCAATAAAAATTATGTGAATAAATAGTTCTTTCTGAGCCTACGCAGTTTCTCCTGTCCAACGCTCTCTAAAGGCCTAATACTTCCCGCTTCTGCTCCCGAAGCGTTCTAACGACATAATCCGTAATAAACCCTATGCATGGCCTACGTTACATCTCCGGTCTATCCTAGGGCATCTCCTCACTCTTTAGACCTCCAACGCTCAAACCTAACTCAACCTTTCCTTCCGCCTCCTGTCCTAGCCCTTGGGCTACCTGTGAGAGGAGCAGTGCCACCACCTTCTGATCTGAGTTCGTGTGTTACCAGCCTTCCTCCCAGACTTGAGCCCTTTCCAGGAGATACACACACAAGCAATTGCAGCGCACCGGAGCCCTCCACACCCCGCCTCCAAGTCTTCACTGACCCTCCCAGAGGGGCTCCCGCAATAGGTCAGACACTAGCAAAAGCCTCATTCCATTCTCCTCCCCGCCGGAGGCTCGGGGTCCATTTCCGGAAGGATCTGGGAGTTCTGTAATAGTTCTATGGGTTGGGTAAGCGCTAACTGAAACGGCTGTTTCACTCCACCAAGAAGAGATAAGCTTCCTCCCCTGACTCAACGAGCTCCAGAACTCACAAACCCAGACTGCTCACACTCACACTACCCCGGAGTTCAAGGACCCCGAGCCCCCCCGCCTGTCTCCTCGTTGTCTTCCGTACATTCACTGTTTCCTTTCCGGATCACCCCGGGCTCCTGAAGTGACTGTTCTAAACCCCTAGGTGACAATCCCCAGAGCCTGTAACAGGCTCTTCCCGTTCAGGATGCAGACGGCGGTGTCAAGACGCCGCGACCACAAACGTGAATGAACAGGGCCCAGCCCCTGACCCCGGGGAGCCCACGCAATCCTTCTACTCTAAAAAAGCACCTCGCTCCCGCGAAGCGGCTATAAAAGTAAAACGTAGTGACAAAGTATTCCGCAGCTCTGGAGAAACAGCGAGGGTGGAAGCAGACTTTACCCTCACATCCGATGCCCTGTAACCATAACAACCGATGGTTTAAAGTAATCATCAACCCACTGTGGAGCTAAGTTTTCCCAAACCCGCTTTCGGCGGGGCAAACTCCCCTGCAGCAACCCCCGCGCCGGCGCGCTCCGG